AGTAGGATCCTGATTTTAAGGACCCCAAAATAAAGCACCCCGTATTTTCGGAAACTCCCATGTCGAACCCTCGTCCGCTTGGTCGCTGTGATGGAAGGAGACCCGGGCCGCGGAGCAAGAGAAGGCGCTAAGGGCCCAAACAACTGCAAAAGGGAAGCCTGACGAATACTACGGACTATTCCTTAGGTTTCAGTAATATAGTTTATTGGTAAAACCCTTTTCTATCATCGTTATTACAGCTATAGTTTCAATGCTGGGTTTAGCTTCAGAGGGGAGATCGATTGGGGATTGCATTAGTTCGGCCGATCCAGCTGGAGCTTTCTACGATTTCGACCCATGGCCCTGTTGCACTTCCCTAAACCCTAAACCCTAAACCCCTAAACCCTAAACCCTAAACCTCTAAACCCTTTATTGTGACACCAACTTTGAATAGGCCTTGTGGGGACATGTGGTCCCGATGCGGCACACATTTCGGTTGCAGGACCATGCAAGACACCCATATAAGTGACAGGAATGTCGGCCAAGGCACAAACAGCGGTTCGAAGAGGTTCAAACGGAATACCTGCTCAAGAATTCGCACATCTTTGTCAGCACGGGACACTAAGACGCACCTTACCTTCCCTCCGTGGTGATGGCAGTGATGACAGGAAGCGAGGGCCCAAACGGAGTGTGTAGTTTAGGCCTTGATGGTTCGAGGTCCCCTTAGTTTTCCTGAAGGGGTCTTGAGGGATTCTTACAAGTTAAGTTGATTATTCAACGGGCTGCAGATAGGGTGTAATTGTCCTTGGAAGAAGTAGCCGCGGTCACCCTGTGCCTTAAAGTGCGAAGCGCGAAACCCAGAGGCTGCAGGTTTCGTACTGGAAGAAGGGTCTCACCCTTTTCGCTGGCTCGAACGAAAGGCTTAATGTTAGTAGGCACTTGCATCCCAAAGCTGTCGTTATCAAAAATGACGACCGTGCAACTAGGATCCACAGAGAGCACCCAGTAGAACTGGCGAGACTAGTGTCGCAAGAAGAATCACGTTCATAATCCTGGCAGGAAACACAAGTATCAACACCTCTAGTAGCAACTATGAGAAGACGACTACCTGTAATGAACAAAACACAGCATAAGGGCAGCAACCTCATAGCCCTAAACCCGAGCTTTCTGCAGCCCCAAGCTTTGGCCCTAAACCCTCAACCAGCAAGAAGTACTAGTCTTCTTGGTTTAGGGCTTTTATGGTTCTAGCTTCTAGGGTTATTCGGATATTGAGTACCTTCACCTACCGTAACTTAAATTCTTGTAGGGTCCTACTAGAGTCCCCCGGGATACACATCCTGAGCACTATAAAACCTGTCTGTTTTTGAGGTTCCTCATCTCGAACTCCTTGTATTCGATTGGTGCTTAAAGCGGGCGGTCTTTTGTGGCGCAGGTTGAACCCGCAATGATGATGATGATGATGGTGATGATGATGATGGTGCCTTCGACTCTTATAGACCCTTTATGAGAACCCTCTTATAAGAACCCTATCAAGGAACCCCCACACCTTGAACCCTTCACCCCAACAGCCCCAAACCCGAAACCCGAAACCCTAAACCCTAAACCCTAATTCCGAAACCCTAAACCCTAAACCCTAAACCCTAATTCCGAAACCCTAAACCCGAAACCCTAAACCCTAAACCCTCTAAGGCTGAGGGCTCAGGGGTTGGAGTTCACGGTTCAGGGTTTCATGCTCACGGCTTAGGGCTGGAGTTTAGTTCCGGGTCTTTAGGCCGGGTCTGTAGGTCCTTAGGGTTTAGGGTTTAGGGTAAACCCTACCTTGTAGCTGGGGTTCCTGATTATGGCTTCTATTGGGAGTTAGGATTAAGGGGACCCTTGGGGGATATAGACCCTCTCAATAAGGTCCCTTTTTTAATTTAAGAGAGCCAGAAGTAGGGATTAGAAGGGCCCCCTTTCAGGCGCCTCCCTAATTCTAGCTGGGATCCATACACACTTCCTTACAACGGTAGGTCTTCTGCGCCAGAGGCAAAGCCTAAACCCTGAATCGGCGTTAAGGGCCTAGGCTTTGCTGGAGTTTTGGGGTCTTTGTGATCCCTTAACCCTAAACCCTAAACTTTAACCCCTAAACCCTAAACTCGAAACCCCAAACCCGAAACCCTAAACCCTATTGCTGGAGTTTTGGGGCTTCGGTAGCAGGGCGTGGAGAATTTCGGTATCACATCGCGCAGACGAGAGGCACCAAAGCCGCTCGAAGTAGGTGTCGCTCCTCAGGTGCGGCTGACGGTCTGTACAAAAACACAAGCACAGAAAAACGGTTAGGGTTTAGGGTTTAGGGTTTTAGGGTTTAGGGTTTTAGGGTTTAGGGCTAGGGTTTACGGTTAAGGTTTTAGGGTTTGGGGTTAGGGTTTTGGGTTTAGGGTTCAGGGTTTATAAAACTAGCCTCCCTAAGGAAAAAAAATCGGTGTGCTGATGACAACTGGGCGGAGGGCTGTGCGGCAGATGCCGTCTATTCTCAAAGACTCCAGTATCCTTTAATTAAGGAATATACCTTAAATTATGATAGGATCCCTAATATGATTTAAGGTCTGTTCCTTACTTAAGGGAAATTGGAGTCTCTGGGTTCTCATTGATCTCCATTGATCTCAACGAAAGCTATCATTACTCCGGAAAATGCGAACCCTGAAATGTTGAACCGAAGCGTGCAGACTTTACGAAGTTATCCCAAAACTTTACCTGCCCAATTCCCTAAACCCTAGACCCTAAACCCCAAAAACTTCCAGGCCCAAGGCCAATATCCTCCAGTGCAGCACTGACTCCACAGCACCAGCATCTCGCGCGAACGCGCCACAAACACCGGCAGGGCCTTCACCTGCTGCGCTTTCATCGCCTCATCCGTCTGATGGATGCAAACCTTGGGGTTTAGGGTTTAGGGTTTAGTGTTTAGGGTTTAGGGTTTAGGGTTTTGGGTTTAGGGCTGAGGGTTTAGGGCTTGTTCAGGGCTTAGAGCCCTAAGCCCTAGATACGGGAGTAAACCCTAAACCCAAAGCCCCAGAGTGAACTCTAAACCCCAAACCCTGAACCCCAAAGTAAACCCTAAACCCTAAACCCTAGAGTAAACCCTAAACCCTAAGCCATAAACCCTAAAACCCTAGACCCTAAACCCTAAACCAGCCGGCCCCAGAGGGTTTAGGGTGGAGTTTCGGGCTGCGAGACCAACCCCAAGACCGAACAGAGGGGCCGAAAGAGTTAGATCAAGGGTGTTTGGGTTAAGAGTTTAGGGCTTAGGGTTTTTGGGGTTTAGGGTTTTTGGGTTTAAGGTTTAGGGTTTGGGGTTTAGGGTCTAGGGTTTGAGGTTTGGGGTTTGGGGTTTAAGACTTCCCCAGTACTACTAAATATATAACCCAAAAAATTTAAAGGTTGGGTACTGGGGAACTAAGTTTTGGGGAGGACGCTATGGTAGAGCTTGCAGCTTGTAACAGAGACCTCTCTTCGTCCTGAAAAGCCAAGGGCTTGGCTGTAGGATTTGAGCTCACAGGGCCTTTCTGACGACTAAAACGGAGAGCCACAGGCCTGACCCACATGATACCCAGAGAGCCCAGCACCCTTAATTAAGGGAATATACCTTAAATTATAGGGGCCTTACTTTTATGATTAAAAGCATATTCCTTAATTAAGGGGTGTTGGGCCCTCTGGGTAGATTCTCTAAAGTGGTGTCATCTGTACGGAATAATACAGGCTTAGGGTTCAGAGAGCATCGGGGTTCAGCTCTGGGATGAGGGAAGCTTACTGTGACATCGGTTAAACACCCGGACCAGCAAGCAGCTGAATTGAGGTGGGAGCCGGACTCGCAGATATTCAGATGGCCAAATAACTTCAAGCAAGTGCGGCATTGTTGAAAAGCAAAATTTGAGTAGAACATGCGATCGTAAACGTGCATGAACTAGCAAAGAAACGTGGTTTCCCAATATCCTGTCAATAAGAACGGTACCCTTTTTCCAATTATTCAGTTTTTCATAGGCACACCCTGTGCAAAAGGGTAAGGAAACCATAAAACGAGGGGATCGCAAGCTGCTTCTCCCTGTTTGCAGGAAACGTCAGCTACACATTATGCAGCTGATCCTGCACCGTCGTGCTGTCATCAGGTGACGATAGATTCATCGCGCAAGATTGCAGCAGAATCCGAATTACTAGCTTGGATCTGCTGCACTAATCGCAGATGCTCCTGTACCGCACTGCTGTCACCACCATCTTCGGCCTTGCCCCAAGCGACGACAGATCCATCACTCTGGATTGCAGCAAAAGCGCCCGCAGAAGCTTGGATCTGCTGCACATCTCGCAGCTGCTCCTGTACCGCACTGCTGTCGCCACCAGACATGGCCTGACCCCAGGTGACGACAGATCCATCACAGCGGATTGCAGCAAAAGCATTTCTAGAAGCTTGGATATGCTGCACATCTCGCAGCTGCTCCTGTACCGCACTGCTGTCGCCACCACAGTCGGCATTGCCCCAGGTGACGACACATCCATCGCCCAGGATTGCAGCAAACGCGACACGCGAAGCTTGGATCTGCTGCACATCTCGCAGCTGCTGCTGTACCGCACTGCTGTCGCCACCAGACATGGCCTGACCCCAGGTGACGACAGATCCATCACAGCGGATTGCAGCAAAAGCATTTTTAGAGGCTTGGATCTGCTGCACATCTCGCAGCTGATCCTGCACCGCCATGCTGCACCCACCATAATTGACAGCACCCCAGGTGACCACGGATCCATCACCCAGGACTGCAGCAAATGCACCGTCAGAAGCTTGGATCTGCTGCACATCTCGCAGCTGATCCTGCACCGCCATGCTGCACCCACCATAATTGACAGCACCCCAGGTGACCACGGATCCATCACCCAGGACTGAAGCAAATGCAACGTCAGAAGCTTGGATCTGCTGCACATCTCGCAGCTGCTCCTGTACGGGGCTGCTGTCGCCACCCCAGCGGGCATCGCCCCAGGTGACAACAGATCCATCACCCAGGATGGCAGCAAATGCGCCGTAAGAAGCCTGGATCTGCTGCACATCTCGCAGCTGATCCTGTACCGCTGTGCAGTCGCCACCATAGTCCGCATCACCCCAGGTGACCACAGATCCATCGCCCAGGACTGCAGCAAATGCACGAGCAGAAGCTTGGATCTGCTTCACAGATCGCAGCTGCTCCTGTACCGCACTGCTGTCGCCACCAAAGGCAGGTGACGACAGATCCATCACCCAGGACTGCAGCAAATGCACGAGCAGAAGCTTGGATCTGCTGCACATCTCGCAGCTGCTGCTGTACCGCACTGCTGTCGCCACCAGACATGGCCTGACCCCAGGTGACGACGGATCCATCGCCGAGGAGTGCGGCGAATGTAGAACTACGGCCTCTCCTGATGGTTTTAAGCTGGACTTGGTTCACATGCAGGGTGAGCATGTCTCCACTCCTCAACATCGCTTCTGTGACCGTTTGTGCTCCGTCAAGCACCTCTCCAGAAGAATCCAGCAGCCGACCCCTACTCGGGACCGCCAAAGCACTCTGGGCGCTGTGCTTCAATGACTCAACGGATGCATCTGCCTCCACTTCCACAGCGGCACGCTTGCCACTCAGCAGATGCACATCCACGGAAATCGACATGATGCTTCGTAGGGTGATCTAGCCCTAAGACTGCAGCTTACTGGATCATGTAATATAGGGGCCTTCATAATTGGAATACGGCTTTGGAGTGTCTCATCGTAGACCTGCAACAAGGAAAAGGTGCACTGTCTTTTAGGGTCCGCTTTATGAGGGAGCCGTTCGAGTACTGCTTTGGGGGACGAAGCCTGTCTTTGCAAAACTTTGAAGCCCCATCCCCTAAACCCTAAACCCTAAACCCTAGACCCTAGACCCTAAACCCTAGACCCTAGACCCTAAACCCTAAACCCTAAACCCAACCCTAAAAAAACGCTTTGGGAATTTGCGAGGCTTCTTTGGCACTGGGACTCCAATACTCACTTCTTTGGTGATACCCTTTATAGTTTCATGTAGAACATTGACGAATAAATCCCTCTCTCTGAACAAAGGTTTGTGAAAGGTATCCTAACATTCAAGGCTCTCACGGGGAAGTCTGACTATTCTCCATCCCAACCCTTGAACTTAGACTTCCCCAACATGCTAAAAACCAGTTTAGGGTTTAGGGCTATGAAACAAGCTTAGAGGAAATAAAAAGCCTCACACTTGCAGGAGCATACTGAAGGCTACGGTTGATGATCGAAATCCTGCATTACCTAGAATAAGGAATATACCAAAATTCCCATAGTTTAGGGTCCTTAAGGTAATGCAAGCTTTTATATCATCAACCGTATCTCGCCAAGTCTAAAGTTAAACACCCTACTCACCTTTTCGTTGGAAGGTTTGGGGATGCCTCTAATCAAACATGATCCTGTAAACCAACGGGTTTGGGTTTGGGGGGCTTTAAAGCAGGGGTCTCGGGGGCCTACTTGGTTTCCCTCTCTGTTGGGTTTAGGGTAGAGTTCCCCAAAGCCTCAAAGCAAAGCTTACAAATCTTAGAGATCCAAGAGACCTTGTCTAACCACACGGTGGGTTGCTCGTGGAGGAGGCTGCTCAGCCGGTGTCCATAGAACACCACGAGGAAAAAGAGCAGCGTCGGAACGTAAACACCCGCCACCACGAGAAAATGGCAACCGCCCCAGGAGGTGAGGCCTTTTCTGATCTTTTTTCTGCTTCTTCTTGTTAGGGGGTGCAGAGATTAGGCGTTTTAGGGCCTTTTAGGGCGGAAGGCTTGAGGGCTTCTTGGCTCTAAACCCTGAAACCCTAAATTCCTAAGGCCCTCGTTGCCGCCTGTTATGGCGATGTAGCCGATCACGGAGATCCATGCGCTGATGGCGATGCCCAAGGCGAGTTTGAAGTTCAGATGCAGGCAGATCGCCGCATGCTTCAGCCAGGAATCCGCCGTCCAGGTGTGGCTGATGAAGATATCTGCCTCAAGTGCTTTTCGGGGGGTTTGGGGTTTGGGGTTTAGGGTTTAGGGCCTCAAGTGCTTTTGGGGTTTTCGGGTTTACGGCTTAGGGCCTCAAGTGCTTTTGGGGGTTTCAAAGTTGCGGGTTTGGGGTTTAGGGCCCCAAGTGCTTTTGGGGGTTTCGGGTTTAGGGTTTGGGGTTTAGGTAATACCCGAAACCCTAACCCCTAAACCCTAAACGCTAACCCCTAAACCCGAAACCCTAAACCCTAAACGCTAACCCCTCAACCCGAATCCCTGAACCCTAAACGCAAACCCCTCAACCCGAATCCCTGAACCCTAAACGCAAACCCCTAAACCCGAAACCCTGAACCCTAAACGCTAACCCCTCAACCCGAAACCCTGAACCCTAAACGCAAACCCCTCAACCCGAAACCCTGAACCCTAAACGCAAACCCCTCAACCCGAAACCCTGAACCCTAAACGCTACCCCCTAAACCCGAAACCCTGAACCCTAATACTGTACTTTGAATGCATACCACCACCCATAGATGGAAAGCCCGGCACCAGGGAACCCTTAGGCTCCAAAGGCGATCGACAGTCCCAACAGCCTACGGTTTTTAGGCTTTGTCATTAGGGTTTAGGGTTTTAGGGTTTGCGGGTTTTTAGGGTTTTTGAATTAGGGTTTTAGGGCTTAAGGTTTTAGGGTTCAGGATTTAGGGTTCAGGGTTTAGGGTTTACGTAGGGTTTAGGGCTTAGCCTAAGCCAGAAACCCGGGACCCTAAAACCCCATCTCCTCACCCACCCTAAACCCTAAACCCTAAACCCTAAACCCCGAAACCCTAAACTCCTAAACCCACAAACCCTAAACCCTAAACCCCCAAACCCTAAACCCCTAAACCCTCAAACCCAATCTCCTCATCCAC